ACCTAAATATCTATTATTTAATGCTCCAAATCTGGATCTCGCCTCCATCTTTCATATAATCTACGTCGTGACAATTGCCAAAAAAACTCCATCTAGAAAGATTAGATGGAAAACTGTGAATCAGCCAGAAATATTAATTGTTTTAAAAAATTTAAATTTCAAAAATCATTATTTTGTCTGTACTTTTCTGTCGATTTCTTTTACCTTGTTCCAGGTTAATTTAGCAAAACTCTAAATATTTTTTATTAATGAAATAGTATTTATTATCTCTTAATTTCAATTCTTTAATAATTTAATATTTAGATTATTATTTTGTTCATATTAGTCTTTTTGAGGATAAATATTTTTTATTTTGAAAATACTCTTGTTAACTTAGACTTGAACTCGAATATGGTCAAACTAATAGATAGTTCGAAAGGACAAAAAATTCACAAACTAAAATGTGCAGAACCACTTCAACCAATCGGTAATGTACAGTACTTATATATGCATTGAACCTAATGTAGAAGACCAATTTTCAAAATTTTGTCTTTATTTTATTTCATTCGATATCGCCAGAATGGACTATAGCGATAACTACGGTGAATGAATAGATAGTTATAGCAAAGAAGATTGACCTGGGATACGTGTTATAAACTGCTGAATTAATATGTTAATTAAAAAAAGATCAAATAGTCTCAAAAAAATAGAAGAAAAGACTAGGAAAGCAATTAAGTTGGAATTGTGAGCTGTGGAGTGTGGAGTGTGCATGAAGTGGAATTGGTCATGTGGCCAAGTTTTGGCGGCATTCACAAGAAAATCTTTCCAAGTGTTCGGGTTACTCAAAGACAATTGCCCTAAAGATGATGAAATGTGAGGAACCATCTTAACTTTGACTCAGGAATCAATTTGTCACACAAGAGCACAAAGAAAGCTTGACTCTAAAGCTTTTTTCTGTAGATGGAAATTGAAGCTGACTTTAAAGAGAAATGGTTCCATGGAAAGGTCCGGACAATATGCAGCTGTTTCTATCCCGAAAGTTTGGCCGCTGGTGCGACCAATCCTGGACAGTTTAATTACTGGGAATTTCGAAAAACAATATCCAGGGCATGCACAGCAACAGAGCCAGAAATATTATGAAGGTAGTGCGAGATTTGTAAAACTAACTAATGACATTACCATTTGTTATAAAAGCAGTTGTAAAATAACTAACTACAGTTTTATACTAAAATTATTGTCTGTCCCTACTCTATCGGGTCATTTCGATCAGTGACAAAAAAACGAACTCAGACTCGTCCCCCTCAACTGAAACTTCAATATCACCATGAAAATTTCCTTCAACAGTATTTGGACGAGCTGTTGGCAACTTGATGCTTTCCAATTGAATGGCTACTTCTTTCATGGTTGGTCTCATCTTGCCATTCAAGTTGAGGCATCTTTGAGCAAGTTTAGCAACACCAAAAATCTCATCTTTTTTGGCCTCAACAATAACTTGAGGATCAGGAGATTCATAAAGTCTATTTTTTATCCATGGACACCAAAAACCGTGTCCCCAACCTTAAATCACAATTTCCTCAGTAGCTTCCGATGGTGATATAGGTTTTTTCTTGTTAAGAGCTCAACCAGAACGACCCGAAACTGTAAACATCACTCTTCTCCGTAAACTGGCTTGATTGGGAGTATTCTGGATCTAGATACCCAAAAGTTCCTTTCACCTGTGTTGTCACATGGGTTCTATCAATTGCAATAGACTTTGAAATTCCGAAATCGGAAACTTTTGCAATGTACTTTTCATCCAAAAGTTTGTTGCTTGACTTGATATCTCTATGGAAAATAGGCTTAGCAGCGGGGCGGAGCCAAGCCCCTAAGATATGATGGGGCAAAATTTTCAACACTTGTAAATTAATACACTTGCCTCTTATTATCTTAAATTTAGGTGGGGCAAAAACTAATATTTTGTAAAAAAAATCTAATTTCAGGATTTAACTAGAAAAAAAAAAATTTCAGCTGGGGCAATTGCCCCACCTCGGGTGTATGTACGTCCGCCCCTTAGCAGTTGTTGAGTGGAGATAGGCCAGTGCTCCGGCTACCTTAGTCGCTATCTTTAATCTCAAGTTCCAGGTGAAGGGAAATTGATCATCATCATCATCATCATTCTTGTTATGAATAAGGTTGAAAAGGGTTCCATTAGGGATGAATTCATAGACCAATAACGGAACTTTTGTCTCCAAACAACATCCTAATAATTTCACCACATTTCTATGAATGATCTGGGAAAGAATGACAACCTCATTGATGAAGTCTTCCAATTGGCTTTCGTTAACCTTTTTTGACGCCTTGATGGCTACAATTCTTCCATCTGTGAGCAACCCTTTATAAACTGTGCCTTGACGACCTTGTCCCAGTATCACTGTATCAGGTTTCCGTTGAACTCATCAGTGGCCTTCTCCGATTCTGTGCTTTGGAAAATACGTGTTTTCTTAATGATACATTCATCAGCTGATAATTGTTGTTGTAAAAGAAGCCCTCCATTTCGCTTGAACATATTTTCTTTGATCATTTTGTCTCTTTTCCATCACACTATTCTGTACGTGGAATAAATAAGGGCAACGAGAAATAAAGAGCCAAAGCTTATGCCAACACCTGTGGAAGCATGCCAACACCTGTGGAAGCATGCCAACATATATAATATGGTAGTATTACATTTCTATTGCTAGCTAGTAACCAAGTCTGGAAGTTCTAGCAAAACATGAGCAAGTTTACGTTTAGACAAACTATTTATAATTTAAAAACCTAGGAGAGTAATTCTTATTTAGTTCAAAATCTGAATGGATGGGTTGATGAGTACCGCACCAATATCAGCAATGGCAGAGCCAGGAAATCAATATTAGGGGTGCGAAATTTTGATAAAACTACTAATAATATTAGGGAATCAATATAAGGGGTGCAAAAAATTATTCAACACATAGTTTCTATTGAAAATTTAAAATATCCCTACTAATACAAAATATTGAGTAGGCCTCCGTCCCCCCTAGCTCCCCCACTGAATATCAGTCGTGCTCATACGTACTCTCTCACCTTACCAAACAAACTATTTCCACCAACCAAAAAAAAAAAAAAGAACAAATTACCCTTAATCGCTGTGAAGTCCTTGATTTTGGCTGTGCAACCTTGACCTTTTTTTTGCCATCGCCAGAATACCCTTCCTGACAAAAGCAGCTGTAACTTCCGGGAGTGTTAATACAGATATGAGAACACGGATTACTGTTCGGATCTGCACATTCATTGATGTCTGATCGCCAAAGAAAAAGTATTTATTATTTTTAAAACAAAGTTCACAATAAATCAGCAATGATAGATGACAGTTAAAAATAATAGTGAAAATTCATAGTGACTGACGTGTAAATAATAATTAGATCATGTTAAAAGTAATATTATTTGGGAGAAAATAAAATTTTAACGGGGAAACCTAATAAACAAAATAATGGGTCATAATGCTACACATCAACACTATTTTTTTCATGATTTGTTTTCCACTATGAATATCATTTTCTTAAATAAATTAGGAAATCAGGAAATGAATTTCTAAATGATCATGTATTAATTAGAAAATAACCAACCTAGGCAGCCTGGATCGAGGTAAGGATCACCCTCATAACCTCGTTTGCAGCTGCAGTGATAGTCTACTGATTCTGGGGTGCTTGACTTTTGGGTGAGCCAAACCCAAAAGTGTGGAACAAAAAATGTGTAGGGTTTATTTTGTAGACAAATGTAATCTTCTCGCGTTTTAAAAACGCGAAACAATCAAATTACATTAACATTTCGCGTTTCACAAACGCGAAAAATGTTAATTCCATGCACTCAGATTCAAACGGGTCGAAAGCAAAAAAAAAAAAAAGAAAAATAGGTTTTTCGCGTTTTACAAACGCGAAAAACGTAAGACGCGTTTGCAAAGCGCGAAACTTTGTTTTCGCCTTTGCAAAACGCGAAACTTTCTTTTCGCGTTTTCAAAACGCGAGAAACTACTTTCGCGTTTAAAAAATGCGAAAATCTGTAAGTTTAAAAGTGTAAATTTTGCAAATAAAAATTTAGCGTTTTGAAAACGCGAAACAAAATTTATAGCGTTTTTAAAGCGCGAAAAATAGATTTAGCGTTTTTAAAACGCGAAAATATCCAGAAAATCTCCTCCTCCACTCACCCGTCTCCACGTGTATTTTTTATGATAAGTCTGGAATGTATTCGCGTTTGTTAAACGCGAAATTTAAGATTCATATATAAAACAAGCTTTAACAGCATTTCTCCGCAAATTTCTTTCATTGTTCAGCTCCGAATTTTCTTCCCAAATTTCTTTCATTCTGTTGAACTCCGATTTTAAGTTTTACTCCGGAGGACTTGCTGAATTCGTGAAAACTCTCATTTTCTTCAAATTGAGAAGTTGCTCCGAGGTTAAAGAAGATTGATTTGAGTCCTGAAGCCTATTTAAAACTCTAAGTTTTAACATTGAGGTAAGTTTATTTCGTTATTAAAAACATGTACTTTTTTATGTTTTATTATGAGCATAGGATGATTTACGCATTATTATTAGTTAATATATAATTGTGATTTAGTCAATTAACGGTGGTTTTTATTGAGGCTGATAAAGTAAATTGAAAAAATATTAGTTAATAGAATATTAAATTAGATGAGCATTGTAAATTATTGTACATCGATTTCGTAAAATAAAATAAAATTATAATAATGATATTGAATTTTGAATATTTACAGATAAGAATAAATTATGTAATTTGGGCATAAGGTTTAGATTTAATATTAATTTTGAGCATACAAATGAATTTGTAAATTCAGGCGTATAGTTGTTATTTTAAAATTATTAAATCAGAACGGGTAAATACTATGGCCGCAAACCGATTTCGTAGGAATTGATTTTGCAGCCCGCAAATGTCTTTCACGGAGACAGTTCATTCAAATTATCTTGGAATACTACTTATACAATCGAACTGATGGGACTATCACGGTAGACAATGGGATGCGCGGACGGTTATCTTATCATTGATCGTATGTTAGATTTCTCGGAACTTGTTGATAAGGTATTAAGTGTGATCGGAGTTGATAGAGAAGGGCTTTATATTGATTTTTCTTTGGTATGGACGGAGAGGTCAGGAAAAAGGTATCGTGTGCACATTAATGATGATAATACTGTTCGGTTCATTTATCTTTGTGCTGATAAATGGCCAGAATTGTACCCTGAAAAAGTTGAGAGAACAGACCATGTTTATGCAAGTACATCTGGCCAGGATATTGGTGCCAGCACTAGTGGTGGTAGAACAGTTGAAGACAATGAAGATGGAGATGAAGATGGAGATGAAGATAAAGATGAAGATAAAGATGAAGATGCAGATGAAGATGAAGATGTCGGGGGTGTCGAAAGCAGTGATGATGAGTACGTCCCATCGGATGAGGACTCGAGATGACGACACCGATTTTGAGTCATCTTCTTCATCCCATATGTTTTCGACGACATAAGTGGATGGGACAAGACTTTAGAGGAAGTAGAAAACGATGGAATTAAAATGTGGGATGGCAATCCGTTGACGCTAGGCCTTGATATACATTTCGCCAACAAGCCTGAGGCACAAGCGGCAGTGGGAGAATGGAACTTGGTACATGGTCGGACTTTCCGGTGAAAACGAGCTCTAAACGAACATGGTATGTCGAATGCGAGACGTGTGGACCTAAATATCCGAAAGAGCGCCTTCACGGCTATGATTGTTCGTGGAAGGCGCGAGTTTCGCTACAGAAGGCCACCGATACTTGGAAAATGGTGGTATGGTCCGATTCCCACAACTGTCTTGGGGCAAACAAGAGAAACGAGTCCCGAAATGTCACGTCTTCTATGATTGCTAGACTGGTTGCCCAAAATGTGCGAAAACATCCAGATTTTGCGATTGCCCAAATTCAAATAGAAGTGATGAAGAGGTACCAAGTCGAATGTAGCTACAAGAAGGCATGGCATGGTAGAAGAAAAGCACTTGAGGCTCAGTATGGTACATGGGAAAGTAATTTTCAACAATTGCCCACTCCTCAATGCATTGTTCATGTCAAACCCGGACACTTGTGTGCAATTCAAGTTTAAGGAAAATTCAGGAAGCTCACAAAGGTTTGTATGTAGGTATGTTTTCTGGGCATTTGGGCCATCTATACAGCTTATTTCATGCTTGTTGGCCAGAATAACCATCGATGCCACTCACTGCGAGGATCCTACAAAGGAAAACTAATTGTGGCATGCGTAAAGTGCGCAAATGGCACGATTGTTCCCATCGCATTTGCTCTTGTGGACGAAGAGACTATACACAGCTGGAAATGGTTTTTGAAGTATTTGAAAAAGTTTGTTCTACAAGATAGGAAGACCTGTATAATCTCTGATCGAAATCAGGGTATCCTTACTGCCATGGACATCATGTTGCAAAAATTCCCAGAGATGGGCGTCTACCGTTATTGTCTAGAGCATGTTAAAGCAAACTTGGTTGGGCATTTTCGAAAGGAGAAACTGCGAGGCAACTGTCAAATGATTGGTTCAGCGACGGAAAAGACAAGGTTCTTGGCAGAGTGGCAAAAATTAGAAGAAAAAAATGAGCTTGCTGCTCGTTGGCTTGTGTCCGGGTGTTGAGAAATGGACTGTTTACACGATGGAGGGTATCGTTGGGGAGAAATGACCACTAACATTTCGAGAGTTTCAATAATGTCTGAAAGGTGCTAGATTCTTCCCGATCACGGCTTTGATCCTAGCATCCTTTCAAAAAGCAACAACTGCTTCGTGCAAACATTGATATGATCCAAAATGTCGACTGTCTACCTCCTACTCCAATGAAACTGTATGAAGAGGCCCGGAAGAAATCGTTGAGGCAAAAGGTCAACCGGTTTAGCAAGAGAAACCAGAAGTACGAAGTGGTTACAATAGCACCTGATAATCAACCATGGAAGGCTGACGAGAAGCAAGTTGTGCTGTATACAAATCGAGAGTGCACTTGCGGAAGGTGGCAGACTTTTAGATTTCCTTGTTCCCATGCACTTCGAGTTGCCCGTGAGCTAGGTGACGATCCCTTTCCACTTTTTGATCCATGTTACACTACGCATCAATGGTACCAACAGTTTTCTGGAGAATTCAACCCAATCATCGAACCATGGCCAAAGGCAACGTGGCAGATCAGGCCAGATGACACTAAACTTGTCCACCATGCTGGCCGAGGTCGGAAGCGTGTGAATCGAAAAAAAGGTGTGATGGATTATACAAGCAAATCGGCGGCGAAGACTCCAAACTTGCAGTTTATGTAAGCTACAAGGCCATAATGCCATGGCTTGCCCATATGCGAGAGTTTGCGCACGATGTGGAAGTTTAGATCATGATGCTGTCGAATGCCCTTTTTCTCATCCACTGCTGACAGGACCGGTATTGATAAACTGTATGATCCATATGGAATTCATGGTGTGCCTAATATCAATTCTGATGATGATGATGATGAAGCGTAGTGATTATTCTGTTAGTGTTCGTATTTTTGTATTGTTTTGAACATTCATGTAGTAAACCTCAGAGGATGATTCAGTTTGCGTTTGTATTTGTTTTACTATGTTGGTTTGGATGTTTCTGTAATTTATATTAGTAATGTTTTTGTAAAACCGAAACGTCGCAGTTCATTTTAGTAATATTATTAATTATTACTATAGGATATATACATGTCGAATAAAGCACTAGTTATTTGATAAACAATAAAGGTAAGAAAATTAGTTATTTGTCATCACCGAAATTAATATAACCATATATTCGGCTTAAAGAATAAACGACTAAAATTTTAAATTGGGTGTATTATTCTCGCGTTTGTGAAACGCGAAACAAGGGGAGTATTTTCTCGCGTTTGAAACGCGAAAATAGGAGGGTTAAAATTTTCGCGTTTCAAACGCGATTTTACTTAAAGCTTGGTTGTTTTCGCGTTTAGAAACGCGAAAATGGGTGCATAAATTAAATTTTCGCGTTTCGGGTTGATGTTTCTCAAACAGAAGCATATATCCGGCGTAATCCATTGAAACCGGTGATTTTTCCGGGAGAGTTGCCGGAATTGTTTCGGCATCAAATTTTTGCATTTTGTAAGCTATATATCGAGGTAAGTTGTGTTTTTTGGTGTGATTTAATCGTTTCTTTTTAATTCATGTTTTAATTTTCGATTCCTATAAATTTTGTGTTCGTTTTATTTGTAATTTTATTTCCCGATTTAATGAATCGTTAATAGATCTAGTATTATAGGTGTTGTAATTGTGGAATTTTTAAAAATTCGGGTTTGGGTTGGGTGAAAAAATTCGGGAATGAATGGGAGGCGGCGGCGGAATGAAGGGGAGGGTGGGGGCGCGGCGAACGAAGGGGAGGGTGGGGGCGGCGGCGGAACGAAGGGGAGGGTGGGGCGGCGGCGGAATGCGGGGAGGGTGGGGGGGCGGCGGCGGAATGAAAGGGAGGGGGGCGGCGGCAGAATGAAAGGGAGGGGGCGGCGGGGGAATGCAGGGGTGTAGAGAGGAGGTAGGTTTAGGGTTTATGGTTGGGCTTAGGGTTTGGTGTGGGGTGTTGGGCTTAGGGGTTTAGGGTTTGGGGGATTGGGTTGGGTTTAGAATGTGGGTTTAGGGTTTGGGGGATTGGGTTGGGTTTAGAATGTAGGTTTTTTGGGTTGGGAATTGGGTTGGGTTTAAAATATGAATTTTGGGTTGGGTTTAGAATGTGGGTTTTGGGTTGGGGATTGGGTTGGGTTTAAAATATGGGTTTTGGATAATAAAATGTAGGGTTGGAATTTTGAATGTATAGGATAATTAGATTAGAATAATAATATTAATTTGTATTTACTAAAATGTAGGGTTAAAATATATAATAAAAGAATAATTAGATTAGAATAATAATATTAATCCGTATTTACTAAAATGTAGGGTTAAAATATTTAATAAAAGAATAATTAGATTAGAATAATAATATTAATCCGTATTTACTAAAATGTAGGGTTAAATATTTAATAAAAGAATAATTAGATTAGAATAATAATATTAATTTTTATTTACTAAAATGTAGGGTTAAAATCTATAATAAAAGAATAATTAGATTAGAATAATAATATTAATCCGTATTTACTAAAATGTAGGGTTAAAATATTTAATAAAAGAATAATTAGATTAGAATAATAATATTAATTTGTATTTACTAAAATGTAGGGTTAAATATTTAATAAAAGAATAATTAGATTAGAATAATAATATTAATTTGTATTTACTAAAATGTAGGGTTAAAATCTTTAATAAAAGAATAATTAGATTAGAATAATAATATTAATCCGTATTTACTAAAATGTAGGGTTAAAATATTTAATAAAAGAATAATTAGATTAGAATAATAATATTAATTTGTATTTACTAAAATGTAGGGTTAAATATTTAATAAAAGAATAATTAGATTAGAATAATAATATTAATTTGTATTTACTAAAATGTAGGGTTAAAATATATAATAAAAGAATAATTAGATTAGAATAATAATATTAATCCGTATTTACTAAAATGTAGGGTTAAAATATTTAATAAAAGAATAATTAGATTAGAATAATAATATTAATCCGTATTTACTAAAATGTAGGGTTAAATATTTAATAAAAGAATAATTAGATTAGAATAATAATATTAATTTGTATTTACTAAAATGTAGGGTTAAAATCTATAATAAAAGAATAATTAGATTAGAATAATAATATTAATCCGTATTTACTAAAATGTAGGGTTAAAATATTTAATAAAAGAATAATTAGATTAGAATAATAATATTAATTTGTATTTACTAAAATGTAGGGTTAAATATTTAATAAAAGAATAATTAGATTAGAATAATAATATTAATTTGTATTTACTAAAATGTAGGGTTAAAATCTTTAATAAAAGAATAATTAGATTAGAATAATAATATTAATCCGTATTTACTAAAATGTAGGGTTAAAATATTTAATAAAAGAATAATTAGATTAGAATAATAATATTAATTTGTATTTACTAAAATGTAGGGTTAAATATTTAATAAAAGAATAATTAGATTAGAATAATAATATTAATTTGTATTTACTAAAATGTAGGGTTAAAATCTTTAATAAAAGAATAATTAGATTAGAATAATAATATTAATCCGTATTTACTAAAATGTAGGGTTAAAATCTTTAATAAAAGAATAATTAGATTAGAATAATAATATTAATCCGTATTTACTAAAATGTAGGGTTAAAATCTTTAATAAAAGAATAATTAGATTAGAATAAAAAAGAATAATAATATTAATCCGTACTTACTAAAACTATTTGTAAATTGTACTAGCCATGGACATTGGATCATCTTCTTCCTCCCAATCTACCTCAAAGAAGCTACGGCAGGGACCCAGAGACAGTAGTTTGTTGTTTCTCCAAACGCCCATAGGTCACACAATATATTCCATGGTGCACAGTATGATATAGGGATTTCGGAGCCCAGGCGCGTAGATAGCGCCGCGTGGAAATTAATAAAAGATGCACCGAGGTTGACAAAGGAATATATTGAGAAATTTGGTTTTGGACCGTTCTCTAGAGTTGGGTCCATCAGATGTGACCATGCCCTGCTTACAGCTCTTGTGGAGCGATGGCGCCCAGAGACCCATACATTTCATTTACCTTTTGGGGAGGCTACTATCACACTCCAGGACGTCGAGGTTCTTTTGGGCCTTCGGGTTGATGGACGTCCACTTACAGGACATCACACCATGCCCGATGGTGGTTGGGCACCTATTTGGAGAGGATGTTTGGATTTAGGTTCCGCATGGATGAGTCTAGATTGACGAGTGTTTCCATCATCGAAATAAAGACTCACATAGAGAATAATCCTTTGACGGACTGTCCCCGACGATGCACACCTACAATGAGCCCGTTGTTTTGTTGGATGGCTCGTTGGCGGATTCTCGTTCTCAAACACTACGAGAAACAGCTTTCCTCTCGATCTTGTGCATTTTCTTCATACTCCCGAGATTTGCTCGAGTACGGTTGGGGTAGTGCGGCACTATGTTACTTGTACCGCAAAGATGTCCAGTCATCTCCGCCGCTTCGCCAAGGCTATTACCACTGTGTGATTCTTCTTCGTATTTTATCTTTTCATTTCTCTCTAGTTTCAATTTATATTCTCCCATTATTATTGGTGATTTTAGCTAATGATTTCTTCATTCGAATTAGCTCGGGCCCGGGAGCGGATTTTGACGGTTCACCCAAGATATCGGGTGGGGATCTCGATCTATCCGATTGTCCATTGGGCACGAGGTAATCTTATACATCAAACCTTCGTAAATTTTGACATTTTGATTTGTACTATCATGTCTCAATTTAATGTTACTTTCTCCGTGCGGTGGTCCCGCGAGAAAAAGTTCAAGGTATCACGCGGTTCAATTTGGCCGCGTCATCGGGATCACTTGCGCTCTCGCAGAGTCCGATGTTAGTATTCTATTCAATTAGTATAACTTATGTTTTATTCGTTTTTTTAACGGTGTCGAACTTTTAATTACACGTCTCTTACTTAATTACCATTGCGCTTTGTCTGGATGCCGTACACGACTCTTTGGGTCGTATTGCCGTGGTTTGTCTTGTGGGACAGGCATATGGCGATCTCGGACATGGCTCATCTGCGGTGATGTCGTTGCGCCACACAACCCCGTAGGGTATTTCGCCAATTTGGTTATCACCGGCGGATACCCGCGACGCATTACTTCTCACTGCGGTGGAAATTACTAGCCTGCTCAAGAGGAAGCCGTTTGGAGGATCCGATAGGAGATGGTTACAACAACTAGGGATATATCTCCAGGTTTGGAATGATCGCCACGGCCAAGTTGTGGGGACTGATGATGATTATGTTGGCGAGCCTTCCGCAGATCCGGAGTATCTCTTGTGGTACCATCAGGTTACTGTGAAGTATGTTACGGATCCGACGGACTCTGAAAATGCGAGGGGTTTTCACGGTTCTGCAGAGACCTTGCGCCTCATGGTGAGTATTTCGCCTACAGTCCATTTGGTTCTTTTTATTAACACTGTTGTCGATTTATGATTCTTTCTAATAAAAATTTCAGGCCACATTGATGGAGGACGTTCGTAGTCTGAGTATTATAGGCCAGCGTACTTTCGACGCGGACTCCTTTGGTTATGATCGCTTAGGCGAGATTGCCCAGGTTGCTGAGCGGGCGTTGTCCGTCAATGCAACAAATGTTGTACGTCACGATCTCGATAGGCATGTTGAGGTTCATGACATTTTGAGTCAAGAACTTGCACTGTGGACCCGACCCAAGAACATCCACCACCTGCACCTCCGAGGCGTTCGCGCAGTCTCGGCGTGGGCGTGGGGGCAAGAGACAATCACAACATCTCAGCCACATCAGTCCTCCCAAAGATGAGCAGCCTCATATTCCCTTCACCGGCGGTTCATCCCATCGTCTCCACATCGCCTCCACTCCATTCTCGACAGCATTCACTCATCGGTCTCCACATCATTCATCCCATCAGTCTCCACATCATTCTTCGCCGACCCATCGTGCGTTTTACCGTCCGATTATGTCTCCCAAAGACCAAGAGTCAATTTTTCCTTCACTCGCTTTTCCTCCCCGACTTCTCGCGCTTTGGAGATTCTTTTATTGACTTTTCGGGTTTCAGCAGAGTTCGCTAGATGGCCGTCGATACATTACACGAGTAACTTTCTTTCGAGTATGTTCGAGGGTGTTGCGGGTCAGCATCAGGCTGATAACCCAGCTGAGGTGAGCGTGAGAGTCAGGGTGAGGATGAGGCTGAGGATGAGGCTGAGGATGAGGATGAGGATGAGGCTGAGGATGCAGACCAGGATGATCGGTTTGAGGGTCAGGGTTATCAGCGCCATGAGGAGCAGGGATCGAGTCAGACTCTAGGGACTCCACCGTTGGCTGTGAGTAAAGGCCAGAGAGTGACGAAGGAGCCCGATAGATTGACTTATAGCCTTTTTCGGGCTAAAAAGCCCAAGAAGAAGTAGGGTACTAGACTTCTTATGTAGTATTATTAGACTTGTATTTTTTTTTCCCTTTTGTTCATTTCTGTTTTTTTTCCTTTTGTTATGACTTGTTTTATTTTTTTTTACCTTTTGTTATGACTTGTAGTATTTTGTTATGACTTGTATTAATATTCTTAATAGTTTGATTTCACTCGCATCGTAAATACAATAATTAATATTTATAAAACACATCTTCGCCGATCAAATCGAAACACATATTTAAACTTTCTTATATTTTTTTCATAATTAATAGTTGCTTCATCTTAAGTGTTGGTAAATTAAAATAAATATTTAATAAAATTTATTCTTATTTTAAGCTTTTTCTTATATTAAAACCATCATAATTAATAAAATTAATTTGTAAATTAAATTACATCTCAATAAATCCATAAAATTACGTCATTATCATTATTGAAAATTTTTCATATAAAATTATTTTTAAAATAATGATTACATTTTTATAAAATTTTTAGTATAATCATTATTAATTTTTTTATATAATGTTCTAAAAATTAATACATTATAATAACTATATCATACTTTTAATAATTTATATTTAGTATAGCTCTATTTTATTTAATGAGTATCAATTATAATATTATATTCTTATTCAAAATTTAATTTTCGTATTATTAAAATTATCAATATAATTTTCCTCTTTATAGCTCTATTCAAAATTTAATGATTAACAGTTATAATTTTAAAATTTTCTGTTACCATTATTCAAATTTAATAATTTTTTGAAGTCAATTTCCCTATAACGTTTTAAACTAGTCAAATTAATCATATTTTTATGCCTATTTCTTTTTTTATTAAATAAAATGTTTTTTCAATTGATTTCGCGTTTTCAAAACGCGAAATCTTGTTGATTCAAGTTAATTAATTAGGATTATGTTAAATTAATTTTTTCTCCTTCTTTTGCGTTTCAGAAACGCGAAAAATGTACATTCGCGTTTTGAAAACGCGATTTTGTGTTTTTAGCGTTTTCAAAACGCGGATTTTGATTTTTTCGCGTTTCTGAAGCGCGAGAAAACTATTTTTGCCCACAATTTAAACCCTAAACATATTTTGTTCTTCATTTTTTTTTTAAGTTACTAATAAGTAAATTTTCGACTGATTCTGTGTATGTCTCAACACAAAAACTGTTGCCGCGGCATCCATAATCTTTCGCTTTCTGCGCTGTAGAGCAATTCGAATTTCCAATTGTCCAGTTCAGTAGAACTGGAACACTGGCTAAGGTCCTATCAATGAAATTCAGATAAAAAAAAATCAAAAGTACCCCCAGATACGAATCTGCCCTGTTCAGCCAGGAATCCATAGCTACAAGGGTTGAACTTGTAAACCGTGGAATGGTTATTAAAGTTACCCAGACGAGCAGAACAGTGTGTAATAATAGCGCCTTCTGGAAAGGACGTTTCGCAACAGCCAATTCCAGAATAATCTCCCCCCAGGCCGTCCTCTGCTTGAGGACAGATCGGTCCGCATCCACTGCTAAAGTTCCGACCTTTGCAATCACCCGAAATTAGACCGAAGTCATTGCAACCTATGATGGTGAATCTGTTCAGCCCAGAGACGATGTACGGGGTTGCGCGTAGATCCACCTGAACCTTGTCTGCTCCATGGACTAATAAACGACCCACCTGACTGTTATAACAACTGGTAACAATCTTAGTGGAAACACGAAGTTGGTTGTTTGATATTTCGAAGATTTCAATCCCTGATGAGAAGAATGGCTTTGGTGGGTTGAAAGAAGTGTTGCAGGTGACTTCAAACCATGGGTCGATAGCACAACCTGAGCCGAGGCCGATGCCGAAGGGATATATAATTGTGACTTTTCCACATTGACTTTGGCATCCGGCTTTGCTGATTCTATTTGTGCTACTGAAATTGGTGCTCTGGACTACTGAAATTGTTAACAACAGAAAGCACGCATAACACCTGATCAGAACCCAAAGAAGCTGATCATTTCTCCCCATTCTCATGGATGAATCATGCATGATTAATGGGACGATGGACGATATTTGTGACTATTTTTAACTCAACTAAGCTACTATAGGCAAGGCAGTTTTAGCTTAGTTGTGTATACTTCACAGCTTATAATACAGATACAGTTATATAGTATAGCAACAAATAACAACTATACACAGATTATTTTACTCCTTCAAAAGATCAGTTGTTGGGCTATCTTTGTTACGTACTGATACCTCTAGTCTCCAAATTTACATTTTCAATAAATAATCTTACGTACATACTACCCTCTTGCAATTTTTAAATTTGTCATTTGGCACTGGTCAAACCGGCCAGCAGCAATAGGCCTACTTGGAATTTTGTTTACATTTTGCACAAAACTCCTTCCTTCTAATTTGATTTTTTTAAATCAAAATTATACTATTAAAAGTAAAAGTTTAAATTGAAAAATAGTTTCGAGACAGAAAAAATAATTTTATTTATTTTTTTCATGCCTACAATCTTCATCATGGGAACATTATTGAGAAGACGTGAATTTTTTATAGTGAAGTTTTGTGGGACGAGGAGGGAAATATCAACAGTAAGTTCCAATTCAATTATACCTAAAACGTTGGGAATGATAAATTTTCAGAGCTATATATAACCTATATCAATATGTGTCATCGTCAAGGTAAAATTTTAATCTCTGTTTCTCTCTTAATTATTTTGCCCTCTATGTTGAGTTGTGATAATGATGGGATTTCAGGCCATAGCAACTGCATTTGAAGAGAGAAAAAAGAAGAATAAAACTTATCATGAACTTTAAAAAAAAGCAAATTTTCCAGGAAAGGCTGTTAATATAGTACTATACAAACTCTTTTTTTTTTTTTTTTTAACATGTTTTACAGACCACAATAATGAGTTTCTCTAGGAGTAGCTATGAACTTTGGTGCAGAGTAACTTAATTATCCCGAATCCCCTTTTGTTTTTGAAAGTTATTGTTTTGTCCAATGTCAATCAAGAAGTATGTAGTATGCATCTTATATTTTTTAAGAACGTTAATCCTGCCATATCTAATTATTTTTTCATATATCACATTTACTTTGTCCAAAATTTTAATAGTTGATATTTCACAAGATTTATAAATATGTAACAAATATTTTTTATTTTATAAAAAAAAACCCATAAAAATATTGTAACATACCCGCATATCGTGCGGGTTTAACATCTAGTTTATACTATAGAAGGATGATACGTGTTAGTGCGCAAAAATTCAAGGATGGTCGACGGACATGGATAATTGATCTTTCTTTTTCTATTTATATTTCATTAACTCGCTATTTGTTATGAATAATGAAATCAATTGTTTCATTTTCAACAGTCATTTTACATAAATCACACGGTTCATGGATTTGTAATTACAGTTTAGCAACATGCACCAGCCAGGCAGCCATCACATGAATCTTGTAGTTTTAAATTATTAATTTAGCGCTCTCTTCATCTCTCTAACGAACATTCACGTTATGTACTCTTTATCATTGAAATTAAATAGAGCAGATAGTCAACTTGAAATCCTTATCATGACTAAGTAATTCAACATTTCGATCTACTCCATTGTTAAGGAACAAAAAACCATGAACACAGAACAATTCTGCGCAGTATGAGAGTTCAAGACTGACTCACTTCAGGCCAGAACAATTCGATGCGCGCGCACACATATGATTTGGACTTGTGTTAGAATTCTTTTAATTTTCATTTTCTGAATTTAGATAAGATTCTAGTTGTTTGTAAACTAGTTGGGTGCGGCAATAATGTTCTTGTATGCTTTTACGTACAAGTTTTATCTAATAAAACGAAAATCAATTATCTCAAAGAAAAGGAACAATAACAAAAACGAAAATGGGTTACTGAGAAGAACAACGATTAAAATAGTAATCGTTGCAAACTTTAAAGTTGGGCCATTTGAGCTCGTAATTCAGCCCAAGTGCCCTACTGTACTTTAAGCATTTTTTGAGGTTAAACATTAAGTTTCAAGGGCTAAACTGGAGGACGGAGCATTTCGGCTTAGTTAATTTTGATTAGGGTCAACACGTAGCCCATCACTCTCCATCAGGGAACTAAAGGAAAAGACAACAAAACATATAGTATAATATCCCTTCCCTCTTAAAAGAAATAATTACTTTACTATAAAATTTGATCTCAAGTCTGTAGAGATTGTAGAAGAAAGACAACATCAGGATCCAGGCTAATTAGTTTTAGTTTTGTGTTCTGATTGTTTCATTTTATGTTAAGTCAGTTAGGAAATTCAAGTAGATATAAGGCGGCAAATAAGTAAGGGTAGTGTAGTCTTTTAACATTACTTCTTAACCTGTATAAATACATGAGTTGTGTATGTGAATACACACGTGATATAGAATACATTTTTGATCAATATACAGATTCACTTTACCAAATTCATTTCTTGTTTGTTCTACTCTGAAACCTTAGAATGGCTGATCGATTCTTCTAGATGGTATCAGAGCAGGTCAATCCTGTTACTGAGAACCATTCTAGGTAGGAAAACTTGAAAAACCTGAGTTTTCCATCCGCAGATTTGTAGAAATGGAGGAGAATCAGTATGAAGGCACTTTGCGAAGAACAAGGGAAAGACTTCATCATCGGATTGAACGGGAAGATGAAGCTTTTCAAGATCACCGAAGCTTCAATGAGATTCGTAGAGAAAACACAGCCATGAATTATGGAGGTTATGTTCATCCTTTGACTCTTTTACCGTCTGATAGCTTAGCTTTAACCATAATTAGCTATCAGTTAACTGTAAAACCTATGTGACTTGGAGTCATTCGATGAGGAGAGCTTTAAATGCTAAGAAAAAACTTGGATTTATAACTGGTAGTGTGGCTAAACCAGATGAAGGTAGTTTGGATTTTGAGCAGTGGTGCCGAGTTAATGATACAGTCGTGTCTTGGATCTTAAATTCGATTTCAAGTGATCTGTTGGAAGGTTTTGATTTTGCTGAGAATGCACAGATACTATGGGAAGAGTTGAAAGATAGTTTTGGCACTAGTAATGCTCCACAGATCTATCAGTTGAAAAAGGAAATTGCAAATTTTGCACAAGGAAATTTGAGTCTGTCAAGCTATTACACTAAGCTGAAAAAGTATTGGGATGAATTAAACAGTATTGATACACCAGATGTGTGTACATGTAATGGCTGTGTTTGCAAATTTAATAGACCAAATGGTGGTAAAGAAGCAAGGGATCGTCTGATGCAATTTCTTGCAGGGCTAAGTGATGTGTAACTACTTGTTAAAAATCAGATTCTAGCAACTGAACCTTTACATGAGGTTAAGAAAGCATATGCAATAATTATGAATGTGGAAAGACAACGACAGTTGAGTATTGAAATGGAGACACCAACAGATCATAGTGCCGTGATGGTTCAAATGAATGGAGTAAACATGAAGTTTAATGTTGGAACAGGAACCGGTGTGATACAATGCTGGGACAGGATTCAATGGATTTTACAGTGCACCACAAAGTATTTCTGCTCCAAAGACCACTTATAATAATATTGGAAGAGAGAATGAGTTGAGGAGAGACAAGGCAGCCAAGAAATTATTAAAATGTACTTATTGTCAAATGACAGGACACCTAAAGGAAGATTGCTTCAAGTTGATAGGATATCCAGATTGGTTCAAAACTTACAGAGATCAAAGAAGTGCTCAAACTGGCAGAATTTCAGCTCATGTAGTAGAAACACCAACAGATATTGTGGCTGGAAATGATTCTGGGGGAGATCTGATGGGCATGATGAACAATATCAGGATGATGGAGCAAGAGTTAGCACGATTGATCAAAGGAAAATAGCAGATGGGAGATTCCTCTGACAACATCAACTTTTCCCGCTTTTTAGATTTTGCAGGTATGACATCTTTTAATGCACTTACATAAATTGAAGTTTTGTTGATCATGTGTTGGATCTTGGACTTAGGAGCCACTAGCCATATGACATCCAACCTAAACCTTCTCTCCTATTCAAAACCTGTTACCAGTACCACACCTGTTTACATTTTTGATGGTAGTATAAAAGAAGTCAAACACATAGGTCATGCAATTCTAGGAATAGATATAAAATTGCATGATTGTTTACATATACCATCTTTTAAACACAACCTTATATCAGTGAGCAAATTAGCATCATGCTCAAAGATTGATGGCTATTTTTTCACTGTTTTTTGCCTATTACAGGACCAAGTGACTAGGCAGTTGCTTGCAGTGGAAAGAGTGGTCAACAGACTCTACATAATTGATCACACTTCTTTTTCAAGAGATACCATACTTTCATTCACTAGAACTCATGTTAATCATCCTTTTATAGCCAATGTTTCAACTATTTCTTGTCATGTTTCAAATAATGTAAGCATTCCTGATAATGATGTATGGCATAGGAGATTAGGCCACCCTTCTGATAAAGTTGTAAAAGCACTTTCCTTGTATGATTCCTCAGATTAACTTGTTAGCATTTGTGGAATTTGTCCCTTAGCTAAATAACATCGTTTTCCCTTTTCCACTAGTACCATTCACAGTTCAAATATTTTTGAATTGATTCATGCTGACATTTGGGGGCCATACAGTCAACAATCCTTGACAGGTGATAATGGTTTATTTGTTACATAAAAGCATCATAATTAACTCTTAATTTAGTAAGAAATTGGGGGGTATTTTCTATTATTAGTGCATTCTACTTAACTAGTTTTCGTGTTTTTGTTAGGTTGGGATTTGATTGCACAATTGCTGAAAAATTGAGGCCAAGGGAACAAATTATGGACTGATGAGGCAATGTTTGCTGAGCTGGATGAGGAAACACCTCCCTAGACAAGAAGCATCTTGCCATTAATGAATATGTCTCCTCCAAGAGGCATGCTTGTCCCTCAGCCGAAATTTCAGCCACCCCTGCTGATCAATGAGAGCAGTGCTGCCACTTCTGGAAGAAGATAAGAAGAACAACCAAGTTTGGATTCCAAGCACAAGGCATTGGGAGGATTAAACAAATTACAAGCATGAGAGGCTCTCATGATTAAAGAACCGGCTGCAAGGCCCT